AGCACTTGTTACAACCAAGGTATGCAGAATACCATCTTGGGAATGCACAACACATTGAACCTTGAAGCAGATGGGCTACTGCAGCAGAAGCCCACACCAGGTGCCACTCTTGTCATAAAGGTTACAATTCACACAGGCTCACCAAAATTGGACAATAAAAGAATGGAAAAACTTTGCCTGGTCTGATGAGTCTTGATTTCCCTAGTGATGGTTGTGCGTGAATATCCCAGTAGATCAGCAATTTTTAAATACTCTGACCAGCCTGTCTGGCAGCAACAACCATGCCACATTAAAAGTCACTTAAATCCCCTTTCTTCCTGATTCTGATGTTCAGGTTAAACTTCAGCAAGTCTCACCACTTCTAGATGCCTAAATGCATTGAGTTGCTCCCATGTGATTGGCTGATTAGCAATCTGTGTAAATAAGCAATTCCTAGGTAAAAAAATTATTATTAGAAGAAAATTAGCTTTGATAAAGGTTCTATTCTATTTGAAATTCGAAATGCTACATTTATTATTTTTCCCAACTCTTGTTTTTGGGGGGCATGTAGTTCTGATGGCATCAGATAAGACCCACCAATAAAAATCCCCTACATAAGAATTTGGGTCAGACCAGTCCACTTGTCCAGTTCCCAGTTAGTTAAATTATGTAGTTACTTTATATATGTACTGTTATATATATATATATATATATATATATATATCTCATTTTTTATTTTTTATAAGACTAGAAAGTAGTTGAGGTATGATATGATCTTTTTTCAAGGCACTGGACTTTGTTCATTATTTCAAAATGGCATAGTGGCTTGAAATATTCTCCATCACCATTGTCAAATACACAGTAATGACTGCTGCTACCGCTATTGCCGGTTTCATCGGATATCATACAGGAGCAGCAAAGATGATGTGAAGAGTGGAGAGCAAAAATCATTAAATATTATTGTAGGGTCTTGTTCAAAGCCTTAGAAATCTCCCTAATTTTGTTTGTATAGCAATGGTCTAAAATATTGGAAAGATCAGCCACTCTTGGCTGTGTAAAAAGCCAGCACGTGTTTCCTACTCCCATAATGTGATGCAAGATACATTCCTTAGCCATTTTAATTTTTGTGTGATGATAGCCAACCACCTACATGATTGAATTTGTTCACTTCAGAATGTTGCAGATGTAGATATGAAAAAGGAAGGTCTTCCATAATGACAATTTCAGGAAAGCAATTTTAATCATTTTGGACCTGTTAAAACATAGTAAGACTGTCCTAGCCAAAGACTTTTTCTAGCCCTGGACAGTTTTGTTAACAAATGAATGCACCGCTAAATAAAATATGTGAGCAAAACACATGTGTATCAGGTCTTCCAGGTTCAGTGCAGGTAAGTCTTCTTGATTTTGCTGACCACAGTGTATGCTTGGTAAAGCAGTGAAAAACAGCAGTGATTTGCTCCTGGAGACATGCCAAGAACATATTTGCAGTTTATATTTTCTGTAAGATGAATTCGGAGGAAAAAAGACAATCAGCAAGTTGAAGACTAGTTGTATCATCACCATCAATTGTCAAGATGACCAATGGTGGCCATGAAAGACAAATATTCCTTGTAGTTACTTCAGATAGCAGTAAAGGCCAATATCTAAGAACACAGTTATAAGCCTGGGGCACATCTGCTGGGGAAGAGAAATAATACTGTCAGGCAGTATGACATGCAGATGAGTGCCGTCGATCTTAGAATCACCGCACACTTCACTCATTTGGCCAGTCACGGGGCCAAAACCAGAGTGTGGAGCCACAGTGTGGCGGTGGAGGCAGCAGCAATGGGAGGCCATGCAGCACCCTATGACAAAAATGGAAACCACCAGCAGTGTGAGGAGACCTGAAAGTGGCACATGGCAGAGTGTGGCGATAGAGACAGCAGCAATGGGAGGCCGTACAGGGACCCATGACACACTCTGGACCTGGCAGCAGCATGAGGAGGCGGTACAGGGGCCCATGGCAGATTACGGGCCTGGCAGCAGCATGAGGAGTCGGTAGGGGGGCCCATGGCAGATTACAGGCCTGGCAGCAGCAATGGGAGGCCGTACAGGGACCCATGACACAATCTGGACCTGGCAGCAGCATGGGGAGGTGGTACAGGGGCCCATGACAGATTACGGGCCTGGCAGCAGCATTTGGAGTCGGTACGGGGGCCCATGACACACTCTGGACCTGGCAGCAGCATGAGGAGGCGGTACAGGGGCGCATGACAGATTACAAGCCTGGCAGCAGCAACTTGGACAGGAGGACGTTCAGTTTCTGCACCGTCTGGTGCGTGCTCGCAAACTGTTGTCTCTTGGAAACGGATTCCAAGAAAGACTGCTGACGGAATCCGTGAAGAGGAGTAGCAGGAGAAGGAGCATCTGAACGAGCGGAATATGCCAACAAGCGACAACAGGGGCCATGACAGATTACGGGCCTGGCAGCAGCATGAGGAGTCGGTACGGGGGCCCATGGCAGATTAGGGGCCTGGCAGCAGCTATGGGAGGCCCGTAATCTGCCAGCACCCTATGACAAAAAATGGAACCCACCAGCAGTGTGAGGAGACCTGAAAGTGGCACATGGCAGAGTGTGGCGATGGAGACAGCAGCAATGGGAGGCCGTACAGGGACCCATGACACACTCTGGACCTGGCAGCAGCATGAGGAGGCGGTATAGGGGCCCATGGCAGATTAGGGGCCTGGCAGCAGCTATGGGAGGCCCGTAATCTGCCAGCACCCTATGACAAAAAAAATGGAATACACCAGCAGTGTGAGGAGACCTGAAAGTGGCACATGGCAGAGTGTGGCGATGGAGACAGCAGCAATGGGAGGCCGTACAGGGACCCATGAGAGACTCTGGACTTGGCAGCAGCATGAGGAGGCGGTATAGGGGCCCATGGCAGATTAGGGGCCTGGCAGCAGCTATGGGAGGCCCGTAATCTGCCAGCACCCTATGACAAAAAATGGAACACACCAGCAGTGTGAGGAGACCTGAAAGTGGCACATGTTTGGGGCATGATTCATGGCGGATTTAGTCAGTTGTGTCAGGAACTGGTGGTTTGAAATCCAGACTAATCCACGCCTGATTCATTTTCACAAACGTCAGTCTCTCCACACTTTGGGTGGACAGTCGTGTCCTCCGCGGAGTTGCAATACCTCCTGCCGCACTAAACACGCGCTCCGATGCCACGCTACTGGCCGGGCATGACAGCCTTTCAAGGGCAAATTCAGCTAGTTGGGGCCAAAGGTCAAGTTTCGTTGCCCAGTAGTCAAGGGGATTGTCTACCTCGGTTGGCAGGGTGCTGTCCAAGTAGGCCTAAGCCTGTTGTTTTTGAGGTCCTGCTCCAGGTCCACCTGATGCTGCTGCTGCTGCTGCTGCTGCGGCTGGTTAGTAGTTTCCTCACTGCGCTGGTGAAGAAAGCTACTCATCATCGACTGCAGACTGAGGCAGCCGCTGCTGGTGGAGCTGCCACTGCTCCTACCACCCACCCCACCCCTCCCCTGCTGCCATGGCAGCGGAACGCGAGCGCACAGGGCCCACAGTGTCTGAGGATGGACGTTGGCGCAGACAGGCAGAGACCAGCTGACTACATAGGTGGTTTTTATAGTACGTTATTTTGGCCTCCCTCTCAGCAGGTGTGAAAAAGGCCACCATTTTTGAACGGTAGCGAGGGTCCAACAAGGTGGACAGCCAAAAGTCATCCCTCTGTCTGATGGTTATTATTCGGCTGTCGCTACGCAAGCAACCGAGCATGCTATGGGCCATTTGTGCCAAGGAATGCGAGGGACTCCCTGCCTCCATCTCCACAGCATACTGCCACGGTGCGTCTGGGTCCTCTGTCTCCCTCCTCCTCCTCCTCCTCTACCAGATGCTCCTGCTCCTCCACTCCTGTCCGCTGAGTGGAAAAACCACCCATTTCACTCAATAATTCCTGAGCACCAATGTCCTCCTCTACCTCCTCCTCTTCTTCCTGTCCTGCCCCCACAGGGGTCATGTGGCGTTGAGATCTGTGCGCCACGTCTACCGCACCCTGACCAGCCATTGTTAACAGCATTTGTTCCAGGACGTGCAACAGAGGAATGACGTCGTTCATCCCATAGTCCTGCCGACTCACGAAATAGCTTGGCCTCCTCAAAGGGCCTGAGCAAGCGCAGGTGTCACGCATGAGCTGCCAATGGCTGACATCTAAGTTACACAGGGAATACCTTTATCCGCTTTTAACATCAGGAAATCTGTGATGGCCTTTTGCTGTTCGTAAAGGCGGTCTAACATATGTAGGGTTGAATTCCACCTTGTTGCAACGTCACAGCATGAGGAGTCGGTATAGGGGCCCATGGCAGATTAGGGGCCTGGCAGCAGCTATGGGAGGCCCGTAATCTGCCAGCACCCTATGTCAAAAAAATTATACACACCAGCAGTGTGTGAGGAGACCTGAAAGTGGCACATGGCAGAGTGTGGCGATGGAGACAGCAGCAATGGGAGGCCGTACAGGGACCCATGACAGACTCTGGACCTGGCAGCAGCATGAGGAGGCGGTATATAGGGGCCTATGGCAGATTAGGGGCCTGGCAGCAGCTATAGGAGGCCCATAATCTGCCAGCACCCTATGTCAAAAAAATTCTACACACCAGCAGTGAGGAGACCTGAAAGTGGGCACATGGCATGAGAGACTCTGGACCTGGCAGCAGGACCTGGCATGAGGAAGCGGTATATAGGGGCCTATGGCAGATTAGGGGCCTGGCAGCAGCTATAGGAGGCCCATAATCTGCCAGCACCCTATGTCAAAAAAATTCAACACACCAGCAGTGTGAGGAGACCTGAAAGTGGCACATGGCAGAGTGTGGCGATGGAGACAGCAGCAATGGGAGGCCGTACAGGGACCCATGACAGACTCTGGACCTGGCAGCAGCATGAGGAGGCGGTATATATAGGGGCCCATGGCAGATTAGGGGCCTGGCAGCAGCTATAGGAGGCCCATAATCTGCCAGCACCCTATGTCAAAAAATTCAACACACCAGCAGTGTGAGGAGACCTGAAAGTGGCACATGGCAGAGTGTGGCGATGGAGACAGCAGCAATGGGAGGCCGTACAGGGACCCATGAGAGACTCTGGACCTGGCAGCAGCATGAGGAGGCGGTATATAGGGGCCTATGGCAGATTAGGGCCTGGCAGCAGCTATGGGAGGCCCTTAATCTGCCAGCACCCTATGTCAAAAAATTCTACACACCAGCAGTGTGTGAGAGACCTGAAAGTGGCACATGAGTGTGGCGATGGAGACAGCAGCAATGGGAGGCCGTACAGGGACCCAGCAGCATGGACCTGGCAGCAGCATGAGGAGGCGGTATATAGGGGCCCATGGCAGATTAGGGGCCTGGCAGCAGCAGCTATGGGAGGCCCGTAATCTGCCAGCACCCTATGTCAAAAAATTCTACACACCAGCAGTGTGTGAGGAGACCTGAAAGTGGCACATGGCAGAGTGTGGCGATGGAGACAGCAGCAATGGGAGGCCGTACAGGGACCCATGAGAGACTCTGGACCTGGCAGCAGCATGAGGAGGCGGTATATAGGGGCCTATGGCAGATTAGGGGCCTGGCAGCAGCTATGGGAGGCCCTTAATCTGCCAGCACCCTATGTCAAAAAATTCTACACACCAGCAGTGTGTGACCTGAAAGTGGCACATGGCAGAGTGTGGCGATGAGACAGCAGCAATGGCACACAGGCCCATGAGAGACTCTGGACCTGGCAGCAGCATGAGGAGCGCGTATATAGGGGCCTATGGCAGATTAGGGGCCTGGCAGCAGCTATGGGAGGCCCATAATCTGCCAGCACCCTATGTCAAAAAATTCAACACACCAGCAGTGTGAGGAGACCTGAAAGTGGCACATGGGCACATGGGCGATGGAGACACTGGGAGGCCGTACAGGGACCCATGACAGACTCTGGACCTGGCAGCAGCATGAGGAGGCGGTATATAGGGGCCCATGGCAGATTAGGGGCCTGGCAGCAGCTATGGGAGGCCCATAATCTGCCAGCACCCTATGTCAAAAAATTCTACACACCAGCAGTGTGTGAGGAGACCTGAAAGTGGCACATGGCAGAGTGTGGCGATGGAGACAGCAGCAATGGGAGGCCGTACAGGGACCCATGAGAGACTCTGGACCTGGCAGCAGCATGAGGAAGCGGTATATAGGGGCCTATGGCAGATTAGGGGCCTGGCAGCAGCTATAGGAGGAGGCCCATAATCTGCCAGCACCCTATGTCAAAAAAATTCTACACACCAGCAGTGTGTGAGGAGACCTCAAAGTGGCACATGTTTGAGGCATGATTCATGGCGGATTTAGTCAGTTGTGTCAGGAACTGGTGGTTTGAAATCCAGACTAATCCACGCCTGATTCATTTTCACAAACGTGAGTCTCTCCACACTTTGGGTGGACAGTCGTGTCCTCCGCGGAGTTACAATACCTCCTGCCGCACTAAACACGCGCTCCGATGCCACGCTACTGGCCGGGCATGACAGCCTTTCAAGGGCAAATTCAGCTAGTTGGGGCCAAAGGTCAAGTTTCGTTGCCCAGTAGTCAAGGGGATTGTCTACCTCGGTTGGCAGGGTGCTGTCCAAGTAGGCCCAAGCCTGTTGTTTGAGGTCCTGCTCCAGGTCCACCTGATGCTGCTGCTGCTGCTGCTGCTGCGGCTGGTTAGTAGTTTCCTCACTGCGCTGGTGAAGAAAGCTACTCATCATCGACTGCAGACTGAGGCAGCCGCTGCTGGTGGAGCTGCCACTGCTCCTACCACCCCACCCCTCCCCTGCTGCCATGGCAGCGGAACGCGAGCGCACAGGGCCCACAGTGTCTGAGGATGGACGTTGGCGCACAAAGGCAGAGACCAACTGACTACATAGGTGGTTTTTATAGTACGTTATTTTGGCCTCCCTCTCAGCAGGTGTGAAAAAGGCCACCATTTTTGGAACGGTAGCGAGGGTCCAACAAGGTGGACAGCCAAAAGTCATCCCTCTGTCTGATGGTTATTATTCGGCTGTCGCTACGCAAGCAACCGAGCATGCTATGGGCCATTTGTGCCAAGGAATGCGAGGGACTCCCTGCCTCCATCTCCACAGCATACTGCCACGGTGCGTCTGGGTCCTCTGTCTCCTCCTCCTCTCCTCCTCCTCTACCAGATGCTCCTGCTCCTCCACTCCTGTCCGCTGAGTGGAAAAACCACCCATTTCACTCAATAATTCCTGAGCACAAATGTCCTCCTCTACCTCCTCCTCTCTTCCTGTCCTGCCCCCACAGGGGTCATGTGGCGTTGAGATCTGTGCGCCACGTCTACCGCACCCTGACCAGCCATTGTTAACAGCATTTGTTCCAGGACGTGCAACAGAGGAATGACGTCGTTCATCCCATAGTCCTGCCCGACTCACGAATAGCGTGGCCTCCTCAAAGGGCCTGAGCAAGCGGCAGGTGTCACGCATGAGCTGCCAATGGCTGACATCGAAGTTACACAGGGGAGTACCTTTATCCGCTTGTAACATCAGGAAATCGGTGATGGCCTTTCGCTGTTCGTAAAGGCGGTCTAACATGTGTAGGGTTGAATTCCACCTTGTTGCAACGTCGCAGATCAGGCGATGCTGTGGAATTTCCGTTCTGGCCGCTGCAGCTCAAAGGAGGGTGTGCTTTGCGGTGTAGGAATGGCTGAAATGCATGCAAAGTTTACGTGACATTTTAAAGGGATGTCTTGCAGTGGGATGGTGGATTTTAAGAACCGCTTGACAACCAGATTGAACACGTGAGCCATGCATGGCGCATGGCACAACCTTCCTTGACGCAGAGCAGACACCATGTTCTTTCCGTTGTCGGTCAACATGGTTCCGATTTTCAGTTTGCGCGGAGACAGCCATCTGTCGATTTCTCTCTGTTCATTACACTCAGAAGTTCCTCCCCTGTGTGACTACGTTCGCCAAGGCATACCAGGTGCAGAACAGCGTGACACCGTTGCGCCCTGCACATGTGATATGCCGGTCCGGTCGGGTAATGGGACTTGGCACGGGGGTGGCGGCTGAGGACACGGCGGAAGAAGAGGTGGTAGAGGCGGACATCTTTGCCGGACCAAGGACGTGCAAACGTGGAGGCAAAGCGGCGTGACCTGTCCAAGTTGCTGGTGCGGCTGTGACGGCACCACGTTCACCCAGTGGGCCGTAAATGACATGTACTGTCCCTGACCGTAGTTACAGCTCCACACGTCGGCGCTGCCGTGCACTTTGGCAGAGACCGACATGCTCAAAGACTGGCCCACCATGTCTTCTACATGTGAATGCAGGGCTGGCACTGCTGCCTTTTTTTGGCGAAGAAATGACGGCTTGGCACTCTCCACCGCGGCGCGGCACAAGCCATCATTTCTCTGAAAGGTGCTGAGTCCACCACTTGGAAAGGGAGGGACTGCAGCACCAGCAACTTGGACAGGAGGACGTTCAGCTTTTGCACACCGTCGGGTGCGTGCTCGCAAACTGTTGTTGTCTCTTGGAAACGGATTCCAAGAAAGACTGCTGCTGACGGAATCCGTGAAGAGGAGTAGCAGGAGAAGGAGCATCTGAACGAGCAAGATGCCAACGAGCGACAACTCCCCTCAGCAGAGGTGTTGGAGCCTTGACTGGCTGATGGAGGGCGATTGACGTCGGGTGACGGAGCAAGTAACGGAGCGGGTGATGGAGCGGGGGCTGGGGCGGGCAGAACCGCCGTATCTTTATCACGGTTTTCCCAGGCCACCAAATGGCGACGCTGCATATGCTGCCGCAACGCTGTAGTCCCAACATGGGCCCCCTGGCCACGCTTGACTTTCTGGCCACATAGTCGACATACGGCTACGTTTACTTCCTCGGGCGGCTTGACGAAAAATTTGCCACACCGCCGAGTAGGAAACTTTGCCCCCGATACTCCTCACTGGCTGACTGCTGCTTCCTCCGTGCACACCGGCACCACTACTGGCCGTGGTGGTAGGCTGCAGTGGAGCTGGTGCTCTACTCCGTGGCCGTTTGGCTCCACTGACACTGCTGCGACCCTGCTGCTGCTGTGTCTCCCTGGGCAACCCACCGACTGTTTTGCTCGCTGCCAAGCTGCCACCCTCTTCTCTCCTGATGATGCGGAAGAAATTGCCTGATGACGACGAGGCTGCCAAGTGCGATCAACCTCCTCATCATCAAGTAGGGTCTCCGCCTCACTACTAGCCCCCTCGGCTGCGTCTGGGTCAGGAGACAGACCTGTCTCTAGACCGGCTACCGAGCCACTCTCCTCGCCACTACTTCTTCGCCTGGCTGCTGAAAAGGCGGATGTCTCCCCCCGTTCCTGACCGCCCTCTGTTAGCTCTTCCTCACTGTACAGTGGGGCTGAGCCCACAGCATGCGATACTTCGCTTGGTGAGGGAACACCAAAGGACAGGGGCAGGTAGAGGACACGTGATTTCAGTGGGCTTGGTCCCGGGCCATGCCAACTAACGGTTGTGTCTGACGTACCCACCGACCGTTGGCTGTAGGTGTCAGAACAGAGGTGACCTGGGAAGAGGAAGACGACCGAGCCAACCAATCGACGACGGCAGGGTTGTCGGTGGAGACACGACCGCTGGATGACACCGGGAGCACTGGCCTCTGGCTGCGAATAGTGCTGCCTCGACCCCTTCCTCTGCTGCCACGTCTGCTCGCTCCCTAAAACATTGCCTCCTCTGCCACTCCTCTGCATGTTGTCTGACATACTCTTTAATTAAACGATTATGTGTCCCTGAGTAACAATTCTGTGTCCCTGAGTAACAATTCTGTGTCTGTGCGAGTAACAATTCTGTGGCCCTAAGTAACAGTTCTGTGGCCCTCAGTAACAATTCTGTGTCCCTGATTAACGTTTCTGTGGCCCCAAGTAACAGTTCTGTGGCCCTCAGTAACAATTCTGTGTCTGTGCGAGTAACAATTCTGTGTCTGTGCGAGAAACAATTCTGTGGCCCTAAGTAAAGTTTCTGTGGCCCTAAGTAACAATTCTCTGGCACTCAGTAACAATTCTGTCTGTCCCTGAGTAACAATTCTCTGGCACTCAGTAACAATTCTGTCTGTCCCTGAGTAAAAATTCTGTGGCCCTAAGTAAAGTTTCTGGGGCCCTGAGTAACAATTATCTGGCACTCCTGTAACAATTCTGTCTGTCCCTGAGTAACAATTCTCTGGCACTCAGTAACAATTCTGTCTGTCCCTGAGTAAAAATTCTCTGGCCCTAGTAAAGTTTCTGTGGCCCTGAGTAACAATTCTCTGGCACTCCGTAACAATTCTGTCTGTCCCTGAGTAACAATTCTCTGGCACTCAGTAACAATTCTGTCTGTCCCTGAGTAACAATTCTCTGGCCCTAATTAACAATTTCTGTGGCCCTAAGTAACAATTCTGTGGCACTCAGTAACAATTCTGTCTGTGTCCCTGAGTAACAATTCTCTGGCAACAATTCAATTCTGGCACTCAGTAACAATTCTGTCTGTCCCTGAGTAAAAATTCTGTGGCCCTAAGTAAAGTTTCTGGGGCCCTGAGTAACAA